GTGTGTAAAATGAAAAAAAAAGTCAAAAACACCATAAAATGTAGTAGATGTTCTCAAGATTTTTGCTTGTATCACATAGCTGAACATCATAAAAAATTGAATGAAGAATTACATCAATGTGAAAGTCAATCTAATGAATAAAAAACTGAACCAGAGAAAAACAAGTTAATGAAACAAATTGATAATTGGGAAATCGAATCAAGTCAAAAACAAAATTCGACAAATGACAAATGAAATTCGTCATAAACTGTCATTATGCATTATCAAATTTGTTTCCGATCTTGATTTGAAATAGAAAAAATTAACAGAACAAATTATTTATTATCATAAACATAATAATTTTATTGATGTTGAAATTAAACTGTTTAATGAAGAACTAAAAACAATTGAAAGATATTCTCAACAATTTATCAGATTTAAAAATTCAAAAAGATTCAACAACATTTATCAATAAAATTAGTCTTACAAGAACAGGCAAATTATGTGTTTGAATTGATATTGAAAAAGTCGAAAAAGTTTTTCTTCATCTCAATTCAACAATTTCATTCTAAAACTGTATTGAAATCACAAAAAAAAATACAGCAAGAGACAAAATTCTTTTTTAAAATCTTCAATGTTGCATAAGAAATTCAATAACATAGTTAAGACAATGATCGATATCATCTTGCAAGAAAACATTAAAAGAACACATTGAGAATTCTTATTTATCTGTACCATAGAACAAATTTAATTAAATCAATGTTCGAATTTTTCTTTGAGACGAAAAAACAAAACCTTCAAAATTTCATGATGAATATTATTCGATCAAAATAAAACATATTGAAAAATCAATTCTCTTTGGAGATGCAATGACTTGAAACAATTCGAAAAATAAAATTCGTCAAAGGTTTAAGATTATTTTGATGATTTAAAGTTTATTCGTATTTGAAAGGATTTGAACAAAATCATCTTTGACTTTTTAAGTTCTTTGAAATCAATTTCAATAAACAAACATAAATCGAATATTAACTATTTTTCAATTCTTTGTTAAATATTGTTGAGAAAACATTTGTCATAATCGAATAGACGAAACAAAAAATAAGGTTTTTCTTTCTTTGAGAAATTATCAATAAATTTAACAGAACAAAGAGGAAATAATGGAAAATTCGTTCTTTTCAACAATCATGTGTGAGAAAATCGATATTTGATTTTGTTCATTCTCAAATTATAATATTTTATGAAAATGAAAGAAAGAAATTTTTTTGAAAAATATTCTCTTGAATCTTTTTTCTTTCATATTTAAATAAATTATTCATTTTGACTTTTTTCAACTGATGAATAATCGTTTCAAGTATTTCAAAAATTTTCTTTTTCTCCTCTTTTAAACTTTGAATAATGAGAAAAAGTTTTTCTCAATTATTTTCAATAATTATTTATTTGATAAAAATGTCAATCTTAAGTTTTCTTTTTTGATTTTCATCATCGTTTAGGAAACTTTCGCATGAGAATTCTTTTAAGAGATAACAGGTTTTTTTTACACTTATGAAATGAAGAGAACATTCAAATATTCAAAAGGTAATCATCATTTAATAGAACAATTCTTGTTTTTTGCTAAGTGAATACAAAATGAAATTACTATAGCTGGAGGAAATGGCTATGGTAATGCAATGAATCAAACCTATTATCCTCATGGTTTGTGTACTGATGGTGACCAAACTGTCTACATTACTGATTATGCGAATCATCGTATTGTGGAATGAAAATATGGTGCGACAACTGGTCGAGTTGTAGCTGGTGGAAATGGAGCAGAAAACGGTTCTGATCAGTTGAGTTGTTCGAAAGATGTGATTGTTGATAAAGAAAAAAATACTCTTATCATCTGTGATCATAGCAATAAAAAATAGTTCGATGATCTTCTGCAAATAGTATAAATGGAGAAACAATCATCTCAAATGTTGGATGTTGGGGATTGACCATGGATGATGACGGATTTTTCTATATTGTTGATCAAGATAAACATGAAGTTAGAAGATATGGAATGAACGAAAATCGAGGAACAACAGTTGCAGGTGGAAATGGATAAGGGAATCGTCTCGATCAGTTGTTTTATCCCATACACATATTTGTTGATCGAGATCGGTCAGTGTATGCATCAGATCGTGGAAACCATCGTGTAATGAAATGGATGAAAGATAAGAAACAAGGCATTACTGTAGCTGGTGATCAAGGTTTAGGAAATAGTCTTTCACAATTACAAAATTCTCATGGTATTATCGTGAATCAAGCGGGTATTGTCTATGTAGCTGATTGTTGTAATAATCGAATCATGCGTTGGTCTCAAAAACTCACAGAAAAAAACGTTATCATTGGTAGAAACGGCGAAGGAAATCAAATGAATCAACTCTCCAGTCCCATCGGTTTGTCATTTGATCGAGAGAGTAGTTATTGTGTTTGTGATAGTGGAAATAATCGAGCGCCAAAGTTCAACATTGATTGAAATTGATAATTTTTGAAAATAAATATTATTTTTTTAATTTTTTTCATAATAATCTTGAAAAATTTATCGAATCATAGAAAAAAAATCTAATAAAATTCATTTTTGTTAAATTTGTATTAAAAATTTTTTTCAAATTGAACATTCTGATATAATTTAAATATTTTGTTTTTGTATCGAAGTGAAATATTTTCTGTTTATTATTCAAGAATCGAGAGTTTTCGAAATTTATCTTTGAAAATAGACACAAATGTTAATGATGATTTAAATTTTAATTTATTAAACAATTGGAAATTCTCGATTTGTAATTAAAAATGATTTGAAAGAAATGTAATTCATCATGTTAAAATATTAAAAACATCAATAAAACAAAAATCTGTCACATTAAAACAATGAAACTTATCAAAAAAATAAAATAAAATAAAAAAGATTTTCTATTCTGGATTATTATTTTTCATGTGAAAGTATGAGTTTGGGCTCGGTTTTGGTGCTGGTATGGGTGGATCACAGACACACGCACACCCACATCCTCGCTCCGTCTTCCTTCACAACAGATCTAAACAATCAGAATTAAATAATGGATATTTATAACACTTTTATTCATCATTTATTTCAATGCTTATGATAATAGAAATGTTAAAGGACGCCCATAAGAAAAGAAAACAAAATTTATGTTCAAAGTGTAGAAATAAAAAAGACAGCGTTTTCTGACAATCGATCATCATAAGAAAACAGCTATCATCTTTCAGAGATTTTCAAACTTTGTGTATTTTTTTATTTCTAGTATAGTGAAGCTAAAGAAAACATGTGAGTTCCACATTTCAGCCCCAGAAAAACTGTACTAACAAGCCTTTTTTTTTTACGAGTTTTAATTTTTAGGAGTATTGATGTGATTGTATGAATTTTTAATACTTATACAGAAACAACACTTGAAACATATAGATAATATATTATGATACACAAGAAAACAGACAATAAATTAGGAATCAATAAGTATCGAAATCCACTGCATTTCTTTATCAAAACAATGTAGCCATTTGTTTCTACATTGTGTGATTCACATCAATCTGTACTTAATAAAATAATGACGAGTTAAGAAGCAGAACAGTTACGGACGTTATTTTCAGTAAAAACAATAAGCATACAGATATACAAAAGTTTGTTTTACTAAAAATTTAAATAGAGAAATAAGGTAAGAGTGGACATGTGTCACTACAAGTATGCCGTAAAGAACACTCATACCCACCCATATCTTTTTTAATAATTTTTTCCTTTACTCGCTTGTCGTCGTTTTCTTGCAAAACTATTATCAACGGTTGAACGGGTAAAATAAATATCAATACTGATCATTTTCTGTGTATATAGAAATCAATAAAAGTTTTTAATAGAAGGAATAATTAAATGAAACAATATAAATATGTCCTTCACTAGTATTTTGTAACAAATTCTTACAAATATGAATAATTCAATTAACAAGAAGAAAGAAATAGCATACAGTGCAATAGTCTTTGCACAAATGTCAACTTATGTTAGACCATACCAAAGATTCGAAACTTGGCGAGTCAAAATTTTTGAAAACGAAGTGGTAACGAAATTTGGCAAATTACTCGCCTGGTTACTATACATTTTTTTTGCTACCTGGATATTATAATTGATTAGAAAAAGTTCAAAAGTAAATAATCAAATCAAATAACTACAATGTACGTACATCTAACAGGAAGAGAAGAATAGATGATAGTTCAATAAATAGTTTAGTATATAGATAGTTTCCATAGAACACATATAAATTTTATCAAAAATTTGAGTTTATTCAAGTTTCTAGTCAATACGTCCACAATGATCAGCAAACAATAACAACAACACAAAATTTAGAGAACAATTACATGCATTTATATCACACTGAATGATTGAACAAGATAATATTTTGAATGAAGGGAGAGAATATATATATATATATGCATGTATGTTTTGTTATTGTTTCGTAATGATGATGGACGTGATAACGAAAAACTTGAAAAAAAGTTGTCAAATTAGGATAAAATTCAAACATGTTTTGTTTTATTTACATACTTAATTATTTATTCAACTATCATTCGTTCTCCTCTTTTTGTTGGATTCATATAAATAACTGTATTCACTTCTTTCTAACATTCACTTCATGAACGACGCTGACAATACATAGATATTCATTCGGGGGTCTCATTATTATCTATTACAGTTTTTTTTTGAAACTATTCATATGAATTAAAAGTATAAAATATCCAGAAAGTCATTGACCAAAAATAAAACTTTATATTTTGGTTATAGTTCTATTGGATGAACTGATTTTTGTAGTAATAATACGAAATTGTTCGATAGTATGGATATCTCGAATATTCTTATAAGTAACACTTTCTGGTTCAATATACAAAAAAGTCCTTTTACGAGATACAAAAAAAAAAAATTGTATACAGGATTGTTTCTTGAATATTTTCTATTTTGATATTTATAAAGAAAGAGATATAGACCTGAATGCAAGGGAGAACAAACTGATTACTTGATTACTAGTGATTACGAATGATTACCAGTGATTACCGGTGATTACTAGTGATTACAAATTGATTACTAGTATTAGTAATCAGTTTGTTTCCCCTTGCCTGAATGACAAAAAATGCAATAAATTCAACATAGTCCTATATTTTGTTTTTTAACACCTCGAAAAAGAATTTTAGTTGTGTATTGAATCTTAATGTGTTACTTTGTAAGAGTATTTGAGGAATCCATATTATTGAATAAAAACTTAGAACTGTCCTCTACCATCATTACAAAAACAAATCGCTCATCTAATATGAATGTTTCTTTTTGATGAATGACTTTTCAGATACCCTATACTTTATTTGATTTCAGGAGTATGTTGAAGCCAAAAAAATTACAGGTATCTATGAATCACGAGATCGATAAGAAAAGTTTTGCTAATATTGATCAAACCTGGGTACGATCGAGCAATGTTGTGAAAATCAATGAGTAAAAAAGTACTTTCTAGATGAAGCTAAAAAATGCATTAGGAAACGTCTGGTTTTACACTAAGTTTTGGACTAGGCGGTGGCGAGGCACGTTTTTGATCGACTCGTAAATCTGTGGTAGACGAACGATGATATTGTTTTATAATATGGATTTTGTTCAACGAAATATATTTAAATAGATTACCCATGTGATACATTTTCTTGAACTACCACCAGTATACCGAGGGCTTCTTGAAGTGCCGCGGTATGTCACCGGTCGAAAAAATACTTAAGTATACCGGTGATTGTTTTCTTTATTGTTTAGTATAACTACAATAAGGGGAGATTCAACACAACAAATTCTTTAAATATCATTTCAAATTTACATGCGGATATAAAAACACTTTTTTTTTAATCTGATAATGATATTTAATGACATCTTTAACTAACTTCCATCCGAAGAGTGCCTCTGGTATTTCGTTCGATTGATAAATCGTAATTATTCTTATTCATATGTTCCTATTTTTATATTTTTTTAATTTTTAAACTCTATGTTGATAATAGACTTAATATTTTTTAAATAAAATTTGTCATCAGTGTTTAGGTTTTTCTCTATAAAATTATGGAACACTGAATAGTTACTGACGAAATTCATGCTGACTAATTGTAGTCTTATGATTTTAAGAAATTAATGAAATTAGACCAACACAATCAATTCATTAAGTAATTTATTTGACAAAAATCCTTTTATTTTGTATATTTATATATTTTGAGTTCTTCTTGAATGAGATCTAATCGTTTCTGAGAAAAGTATGAATATTATGTATTGCATTTTTCTCATCAATGATCAAATAGTACTCAAGAATAACTTTCGATATATCAACATACAAAATATTAGATATTCTTATTAAAACCATATGTCAAATTACATTTATTTCTATAGAATCACAAGATTGCAAATGGGTAGGCTCGAGCCCTAATCATGCTGTTAAAACATGAGACTACCATCGATTTTTTTCCCGGTTTGAATCACAGTGGTAAAAACAAATAATAAGAGTTCATCGGTCATTTTTTTAATTTTGTGAATTTACTTTTACAAAACGTGTGAATATTTTGGCGTGGTCTTCAGCCGACTATCGATACAAATGACAAGTAAAAAACACAAAAAATCTATGTACAACTATTCTTTCTTTTCTTTTCTTTTTTCTTCTTTTCTTCAACATTGCAATGGAACGGGGAGAGAAACGTTTGTTTGTGCATTGCAATATTAAAGACAAGAAGAAGAACGAAAAAAAGAGAAAAGAACAGTTGTACATTAATTTTTCTTGCAATTTTTACTTGTGATTTGTGCTGATAATCGACTGAAGATTAGTCCGAAATATTCACAAGTTTTTTTGAAATAAATTCAAAAAACTTAAAACTAACCAGTGAACTCGTATCACACGATAGTATTTGAGAGATGTTTGATTTTCGAGAAAACATGCAATCCTGATTATCAAATCAATGGACCAAGATGAATTAAAGAGTATAAGTACAAATTGTGCGAGATTTTTTCAATCATTTTGTACTGTCAATAAATTACAAGAAGGTATAACGAAAGCACATGCTTGATTGAGGGAATGAATCAAATAATGAAAGGTAAAGTTTGTAATAAAAACAAGCCAAATAAAAAAACGAAAAAAAAAAAACTTGCTCATTTCACACGGCATCCTTACATCAGTATGGTTGGAAGAAAGAAACATAAGAAAAAATATTCTTTCTTTCTTTTTTCAGTGTTGCATTAGCAACTGTGTACAATGTGAGCACGCTGAATTCAACCATCAATGATCTCTTTAAGTTTCTATGGAATAAAGTAAATAGAATCGATGTAGTTGCGACAATTTTTTTTTTGCATGAACTCAGTTTAGATTTACGCGTTCATAACTTTATTTCTAAATCATCAAAAACGAGAAGCAATATATAGAATTGATTTTCATAAATAATATTCAGTCAGAAATATTGAAACAATTCATTTCTAATCAT